CTTCATTTCGGCGATCTAACGGAGGTGGGAGAAACCATGTTGTTCTTTTGGAGGTCAGAAACTTTGGCTGATCTCATGTAAGTCACCCACACCCTGACCTATCTGCTGCCCACCTTTCCTGTCCTCTAAACGGGGCACATAGGCCACCCAATCTGTTCCTGCTACGCTGCAGCCAAAAGACAAAACTGACCTCGTAAAAGGCCTCTCCTCTGTCCACGCAGGTCTTTCAGGGAGAATCATTCCAATAACACGGCGGGAAAGAGCAAGGGCATTTTAACTGACTGGGCTAAATCCACCTTTAAGTGCCAACAGCCAAGCTCCTTGATCCCTGGCTACAACCAAGCTTACTCAGCTTCCACTGCTCTCCAAAGCAGCGCATTTTTCACGGGTGCGTGTCTTCCGAACTCCCGCATGCAAGCATCACACGCAGTTGAGCCAGAAACAAGCCATCGCTCCTCCGACCATCGCGTGGACGGAGAAGCCGAGAGCTGTGCGTCCTTAAACAGATCCAGTGACCAAGATCTCTGGGATGCAGGCTAGCCCCTCTCCCTCTCTGCAGCGGCTCCAAGATGGGAGAAGCCTTTCTGAACCCCAGAGATCCTGAGCCACCTGCGCTTTCTGCACCGCTTTCTGCGCTCTCCCAGTGGCCCACGAGGTTAATTAAAAATAAATAAATAAATAAGCCAACTGGTGGCCCAGTTGCATTCGTCCATCCCCCTCCCTCGACGGACAGGACGGCTTCTCCTGCACCTCCACCGGCTTGGGGTTCTCGCTGCAGGGGGGCCGAAGGAGGGCGAGGCCCCCTGCCTTGCACCCCGCGGCGCGGCACAAAGGCGCATCGCGCCCTCCGGAACAGGCCGCCCAGCCCAGCCCTGCCCTGCCCGGTGCTGCGCTGCGCTGCGCGGGCGGACCGGAGGCGGCGCCAGGCACGGCGCGCTGCTGCCACCTACTGGCGGCGCGGCCGAACGGCCCGGCCCCGGGCGCCTGCCAAAATAAGAGTCCCCGCTCCGCGGCCGGCCAGATGCCCGCCTGCGCCACGCGGGGAGGCGGCCCGCAGGCAGCGAGGGGGGCGGGGAGACGGGCCCCGCGGGGCCCCCGCGGCAGATGCGCCCGGGTCGTCCCGGGGGGCGGCCGGGTGGGTGGCTGGGCGGCAGGCAGGGGCAGGGCCCACAAGGGAAGGGTGTCCTTAAGCCGTGCGATCTGCTGCCAGGGGGGCACCGCTCTGGGCGGCTTTGCGGGGGCTGGACAGGTTCCTGGAGGCGGCGGCCACCTGGGGCTGCTGGCCTGCTGGCCCTGGGCCGCCTCCTTGGCCGGAGGGGGCCTGCCTGCCTGCAGACATCAGTCGCCGAGGAGCTGGGCAGGAGGAGGCCTTGCACCCGTCCAGCGGGAGGGATCCTCTGGTTTGCCACCGTGTATACAGAGCGCTGGGCTGGATGAATCCCGCCCGGCTGTTCAGCACACGGCTAGGTTTTCTCTAGGAGGCCTCCAGGAGAACGCAAGTCCAGGTGCCCGTTCGTCTGTCCGATGGGCTTGTGGAAAGCAGTGCTTGGAACATGCTCTCTCTAAAGGGGTGTGCCACTGGAGATGTTTTGTCCATGCAGCTCCCATGATCCCTTGCTGTTGGTGATGCTAGCTGGGGCTCATGGGAAGGGTAGACCAAACCATCTGGAGGACCTCTGCTTTCCCACCCTTGAGGGCTGGCCCAGAGAACCCAAAGGTCTTGGCGTCAGCGCCCACGACGACAGAATGGGCGGACACGCCGCTTACCTGGTCACAGGTGAGATCAAGGTGAGCTGCCTCCAGTGCAGAGTTCAGGGACAGTCGCTCTTTCCTCGTTTGCATTTCCACCTGTAGATCATCCTAGGTAAATGTTATGCACAGCTGGGCCTCTTCCCCTTTTCTGGTGATGCACAGAGTGGCAGCTACGAGGACAGAGAGGGGTTGGCTGGACAGACCCCTCCCCCAGCCCCGAAATTTAGGTCACATGGCCACATGATTTTGCGATGGCTTGTTTCTAATCGCACATCTAGACATAGGTATTAAGATGCACACATTCTATGTAAATTGGTGTCCCCCTTGCGGGAGAACCCCATAAGGTCTCTTTTTTACTGAAACTGACGGAGAAAATGTTCTCTTTGTTTACTACTTTGCAAACTGGGATTCTTGAGAATGTTCTTTCGAGATGAGGGTTCCTCCCACCTTTTTGGATTTCATTTCCCATCAGCCCCAGCAAGCGTGGCTGGTAGCTGTCGTCCTAAACATCCGGAACACACTGAGTCCGGAAGGGAAACACTGCAGCCCATGAGGGTGTGTGGAAGATGGGGTGCCCGCCACGGCCCATCTTCCCCGGCTCTGCCGTTCTGCAAGGAGAACCACCAGGCCCATCCAGTCTGGCCGATGCTCCAAGAGGACTTATGCTTTCCACCTTGTGCAAGTTTAGAGAGGAGAAATCTTTTTTCTCTGTTGTAGAAATGCAACGGCCACCCTTATTAAATCCCAGCCAAACTGCGGCTTCATCCGCCTCTTCACTTCCATTTGGAACGCCTTTTCCTGATGGCACGGGGCAGACCTCAGCGGCTGATTTCATCCCAGGGCATTCTGGGAAAAAAGGAAGGGTGGCTGTTTCCCCCCAGAATGCCCCGCAACAAATGGCACATGGGGCCAGAAAGAAAAAAGGTCACTGTGAAGAGGCCTGGACACCAGAATCATGGGTGCCAGCACCACCAGGGGGCAGTCTTGAGGCAGCCCCTGAGGGCTGGAGCCCTAGACCTTCCTTTTGCAGCCCTGCATTTCTGGCAGCCCCCCCCCCCCCCCGTTGCCCATGGGGACTCGCTGGAAGACACATGCAGGGGGCGCGCTTGTGCCTGCTGCATCTGAACTCCCTGGGGGAGCTGGATTTGGCCCCACAGGGGCTTCCCCTCCTGCTGCCCCCCCCCCTTGATCCTTTCTGCCTGAGACTCTTTATCTCTTGCTCCTTTCTTGCTCCGTGAACCACTTTGGACAATTAGAGGTACCCTGAGGAGATGGAAAGAGAGAATTTGGCGCTTACGCAAGTTAGCATCTGCAATAGGAGCGAGCGAGCGAGCGTGTGTGTGTCTGTCTCCGTGTGTGCTTGTGTCTGTCTCCATCCTGTGGACCAGAGCACCAGATCTTTCTGGTACTCAGCACCATCCTGACCACCAGGAACAGCTGCAAACAAAACAACATGAAAGTGAAGCCAACAGTGCAAACAAATTTGAAAGAACAAACGACGAAAACCTAGGGAGGTTTCGATAGAGGTGAATGGCCTCACAGAAAGGGCTTCCACGGCATTGCATTGGTTTCAAGACACAGGAAAGATTCAGAGATGCGCTATCGCAGAACGCTGCAGCCGCAGGCACGTCCGTGCTCTCCCGCGATCCAAGGAGGCTGCAGTGAGGGCTCTGTAAAAGGATTCACAATATGCCACCAAGAATCCATTTTGCCATGGCCTGCTTCCATGACTTAAAAATGGATCACATCTGTTATTTTTAGTCATTAATATGAGAGAACCAGCTTCATGCCAAAAACCTGTGTGGGAGTCACTTATTTAAGGAGCCTGGCTTTATTTTATTTTAAGATACTGCATCCTGCTCCCAAAGTGATTCAGAAAAACGACAGAAATTGAGATGCAAATGCCGACAGGATAGAGGTTTCTAAAAGCTACATGAGGATGTGGAAAAGGGGGTTTCTCTAAACACAAGGCTGTAACAGTGTTCATTCAACAAAGCTGAATATGAAGACAGATAAAATGAAGTTCGTCATAGTTTAACTGTACGATGGGATGTATTGATGGCCACCCCAAGGAGAGCTTCATTTGGTGAGTTGCTGGATTTCTGATCTGTCCCATGAGAAAGGGGTGTTGGCCGCACTTGGGGCATGGAGGTGAAATGACTGCAGATTGGCCATCCGTCCGCAAGCCAGTGCCCTCGAGTCCCCATCAGGCCATGCCAGCCAAAGATCAGGGATGATGGGGCACCCAGCTACAACTTCTGGAGGACACCAGGCTGGGGGTGGCTGCATCGCCTCTCTGTGCTGGACAAAGCCCCAACAGGGCTCTTTGGGCACGATCAGCCCGGCCGGGCGCGGGAAGAGGGCCCTGTCTTTGGAGCCAGCGTGGTTCTTTCCATGTTGGTTGCAGCCCCAAAGCTTGAAGGCCATCTTTGGGGCATCTGCTGCAGGACATTCCAGGAGGAGGGAGGGAGAGGGAAGGAAGGACGGATGGACGGACGGATGGACGCAGCCTTTCCTCCTTGCACGGGGGCAGGGGGAGATTTCGATGGTCCAAACTGGCCATCTCAGCCCCCTGCAACACAAATGCTTCTTTGGATGCCTATAGACTTGCAAATTCAGGTATAGGTGGCCATACAGATCATTCTTCCTGACATTCTTAAATCAGAACAGGGAGCAGCAGATTCTGCTAGTCTGCCAGAAAGACGAGTCTGCCCTTTCCCTCTTCCCTCCCAGCTCCCTTTCCTCTTTAGACTGTACTCAGGGGCAGTCTTATTCTCAGGGATTATACGCAAGCAGCTCCAGGAACCTTTGTGCTGAGGAGCAGGCTAAAAAATGCATCTGATAAAGGCAGGGAAATTAATATTGATGCAATACGTCAGGATATACTGCGCCACAAGTGCTTAGACAGGTAGAATTATTTAATCAGCCTGAGAAGAGAGACACACCCACAAGAAGCCATCCTGTTTTCTCAGAATAATTTATTCAATACATTAAAATTTTGCGTTTTGAAATTCCACCATTAAAACCAGTTGATCCAAAAAAAGACACACAGGCAAAGAGGAAATCAATCCTGTTATAAAAACAGCTGGTGCGGGGGAGATGTGCAAGTCTGTGTGGCAGGGGGGTAGCCGGA